AATTTGACTGTTCTAGGAACAGAAAATCTTATGCATGCCAACTGTGAAAAGTTCTCCGATGCAGTGTGAAAATTGATTTGGCTAAACTTTAGCCTAAAACATGTAACTCTAGAATCCATTTGAGAAGATATGAGGAAACCTTAAGGTTTATTTGATAAACTGAAATAACAAAACATAACCCTAACCACGGATAAAGTATGCTTAAATATTCCTAGATACCCTTAGGAATAACAAATGAATTAAAATAGGAAAATAACAAAATTTCCAAAAATTGTAAAAACTTTAAGTCTTTAAAGCTGAATTTCGGGCTACTAAGTAATCTCAGATTTCCGAAAAAACCCATACGTCATAGCAAAATAATGAGTTTTACTCGTGACACTGTTCCCTTCAAATCGACAGGTCATGAGCCCAAATATACAACTTACCTGATTTGCACTTACATGCATGTCGCTCCAACTCCTCTTCGCTAGCTTTCTCCATATGTTCTACATCATTCTCAATAAACTGAAAGAAAGTTAGAAACAATATGAACACTATTAGGGCCAAAATTTGGTGGGATACTGCTCTATGTCAGTTGGAGGCACGTGTACTCAAATTGAAAATATTAACCAATTGCTTTGACTGGACATACTGGTGTCCAGAAATTACAACCATGCGACCTTGAGATTTTGTGAAGATTCGTTTACAACCAAAAATTGACTAGGCCATCCAAAGTCTCCATAAAACCTGTAACGCCATGCTCGGATGCTCCATATGTATAACTCCGGTTATTGGGCACTTACGTTTGTTCATGATAAAAGTTTAACTCTCTTTCTCGTTATCGATACTTCAATTTTAGGTCTTCTTTACACACAATAAAAATAAATTCAAGTATACAAGTCTTGACATGAAGACATGAACATTTGTTATAAGCTTAAAGATGTGCAAAAAGTCTTGAAATGCAGACATCAGACAGATACAAATGAACATTTGTTATTAGGTTAAAGCTGTGCCCCATAAAAAACGTGAGCTGTCCAGCCAAATTGAAGAGGTCAGAGACTCAAAGTATATATGGTTGGTTGGTCCATAAAAGCTAAGCTAAAAGGGGGGCAGCAGCACTTAGAAAAACAAAAACCAAAAGCCAGCAAACTCAAAAGGGCTGAAAGGTGAAGGTCAAAGCTAAAACAATTTGTATGATTGATATGAAATAACTGGTTTTTTTCGTGGGATTTCCATTGTAATTCCTTGGAGGGATTACTGTACAACCAATTTGTCCAGGTCAAAGGCTTTGCATGCTGCCAAAGGTTCATGCCTTTCTTTTCATTTTTTTGGGAAGAGGGCTACGAAAAATAAAATATGACAAATTAATTAACAATGCCTATTAGATAAAAAATTATAATTAACAATGCCTAAGTTCTGGCTTGTAAAAATAATTGCCCTGGGCCTAATTTGAAGTTGGGGTGGAATAAATTCAAGGGACAAAGGCCTGTCATTGTGGAGAGTTCGCAACTTCTTGATGACCTTGAAATAAACAACATAGTTATCACCTTTGGTTTTTTATGTTTTTTTTTGTTGTTGTTGACATTATTGGTTCTTTATATTTTTAATAAATAGTTTAACATTAAAAAATTTTTAGAAAAAATTTAATAAAAAAAAGATACAAATTTTAAAACATAATTTATTTTTTTATTCAAATCCACTTGGCATGTTATTATTGACATGAAGGCTCCATATACATGTCATACATGTCACGTCAAATTCGTTATGTTATGGTAAAATTTCTGTTAAATTGATGAAAATTTCAATAGAACCTAATAGATTTGACGTGACATGTATGTAGAGCCTACATGTCCAGTAATAACTGCCAAGTGAATTTGAATAAAAAAGAAATTATGTTTTGAAAGTTTTCTCTCTTTTTAAAATATTTAAAATATTTTAGATGTTAAACTATTTTTTGAAGGGTTTAGGTTTGTTCAAGAAAACCTAGCGGATTTGACACGCCATGTATGTGGAGCTTACATATCCATTAATAACATGCCAAGTAGATTTGAATAAAAAAAATGTATGTTTTGAAATTTTTCTCTATTTAAAAAAAATATATATATATATATATATATATAAACAGTTCTTCATTTAGATCCACTTGACATTCATTGGCTATGTATGCACCACAGGTGTCATGTCAGCAATTTAACAAAAAAATTTAACGAAATCTCACAGTGGGATCAAATTGATGTGTGAGGTGTAACATAAGTACCAATTAGGGGTGGGCATCTCATCCAAATTATCCGTGTATCGATGGTTTGGTTTGGTTTGGTTAAATAATTATTTTTTAATTTTAATTATTCCGATCCGATCCGTACCGAAATGTTTGGTTTGGTTAACGGAAACAAAATTCCTAACCCGACGGAAACCCGCACCGATCAGATATTTATACTTACTTTATTATTTAAATACAAAACAAGAAACCAAAGATAAATACGAACAACATTTTGTATCACTCCTTTATCATTACTATATCACTTCTTTCTTATCATTGTATCACTGCTTTATCACCATTTTATCACCGCTTTATCACCACTATATCACTTCTTTTATCACCATCGTATCACTTACCCGAGTACTATAGTACTTTTTGGTCATAGAGGAATTTATGAACTTCCTATGTTTTCCAGTTTCGACCTTTGTCCCTTTTTCACCTATAACTTTCCAACTGTTGATCCAAATTTTATGTTCTTTGTATGGTTGGATTCAGCATGAAAAACTAAAGAACCCAGAGGGAAAAATTGTCAAAATCATTTGCATAAATGTAGAGAATTCAATAAAAAGAACACTCAAAGGTTCAAACAACAAACATAAGTGGCTTCTAGTATGTCTTGAGTACATATCGAATGATATAGTCACTAAATTATTTGATTTCACACTTGGATGAATTAGACTATTGAATTTTTATATTTTACAAGGATAATTTGGTGTGTTTGTTCAAGAACTTATGTTATGTGAAAGTATTATAAATTGTATTTTTATTAGTATGTTTTTATTACGGTACTACCGGCGTACCGGCCAATCCGCACTGAGTATTAGGTTAACCGATCCGAAGTCTACCGAAGTCTTTGGTTTGGTTAACGGAAGAGTCTTCTACCGTTCCGAACCGATCCGTGCCCAAGCCTAGTACCAATAATGTCAAAAGAAAATATAAAGGACCAAAGGTGATATTTTCGCAAACATTAGGGACCATTTGTGATAAAACTCAAAATATTTAAAACATTGTTTAATCCACATGGCATCCACATCAGCAATCTAAATTTTTTTTTTTACGGAACCTGACGGCGGGACCAAATTAATGTGTGATGTGTAACATAAGGGACCAATAATGTCAGAAAAAAAAGCATAAAGGACCAAAAGTGATAACTTGGCAAACCTTAGGGACCATTTGTGATTAAATCTGTAAATAGTATAAAGGATTACCAAACAAATAATTTAACAAAGAACATAAAATCAAAAAATCATTTTTCATCAAATTAGTAATTATAATTAACCAAAAAAAAAACATATGGCCAATGGATTTAGTTTTTATGAAGAGCTCTTATTAATGTATTAAAATATTATATGGGACCGCCTTAAAAGAAGAAGTGAATATAATTTCTTTTTGAAGGTGGATATACTATAGATTAAGTTGGAACAAATATAGGGTTAATCATTTTATTAGTCCATAAATTTAGATCCGATTTGCATTTGAGTCCCTCAATTTTCAAAATTGTTTTCGTGGTCCTTTAACTTCACTTTCGTTAGGGCAAAAGGTATTGCAATCAATTTTGTTAATTTTTTCTGTTAAATGCAGAGGCAAAATAGTATTTTTATATTAAAACCAAAAAAATGAATTAACAATTATATCTTTAAAATAACAATAAAAGAAAAAAAATATCAAAAAAAGAAAAGAAAAGAAAATTCAAGTTTGGGGGAGTAGAAATCGGGATATAGGAGGAGAGAGAGTTTAATTTTAATTTTTTTAGTTTGAAAGTTAAGTCCTTGATTCCAATCCTTGCATTTTGCCATTTATAGACAACTATTGTCAATTAAATTTACTCAGTTTTGCAATACAAATATAAATTATGTATTGGAAAGAAAAAAAATTCACGACACTACAAGACACGACAAATACAAATTTTCACGATAAGTTGCCCAGAGTATGCCGGTCACTTCTCTATTGAGCCAACTCCAGGCCCAATCTTTGACCAAAAAAATTACTTCAGGCCCAATTAAAATTTCTCCATTGACCCAACCCAAAAGCCATTTGGCTCACTTTCCTTTTTCTTTTTCTTTTTTCTTAATTAATGAAAGGCATTTGCTTCACTTTCAAGTCGCGAGCAACGCATTGCCAGATGAGAAGCCATTAAATAACCAAAATCCAAAGCTCTGTTTTTCTCAGATCCATCTCTCTTCCATTTCGATCTCTCATTCCGCTAATTGTACCTCACTGAATTGCGAGCCCAGAGAACGACGTGCCGTTTCAGGACGTAAGATCCGAGTCCGTGCAAATGGAGTCTCCGCAAGGCGGATCCGACCGAGACAAATCGATCTCCTCCTCTTCCCCCCATCTCCGTCGTCTCCAATTTCTGGAAAGGTATCTTTCAACTTGGTGATAGCTTTAGTTTATGCTTTCAGTTGAAGCCTTGAGTTGTTGTTTTGCTTGAAGAATATGAGAATGGTAGCATCCACAACTTTTTTCTTCATGTAGCTCTGCAATTTGCTTTTGTATCGTCACGTCTAAATGTTATTGATTGGATTCTATGTTACTAGAAATAGTAGTAACAACTAGCTTTGATTTATGCTTCATTTGGATCGTACACAATTTGTTCATATTTACAGCAATGATGCCATTAACTAATATTATTGGGATTTCTCGCGTTTTGTGTACAATTATTAAGTATTGGAGTAAAAGTTAACTAAATCACATAATAGTAGTGAGAGTGGAATGAGTTTATTCATAAGAAATTGCAGAAGGGCTTGAAATTTGCATAATGGGAATAAAAAGTATTCATAGATGATGCCTCATGGACTGACCACTGTGACGACCTAGGTTTTGGGTTGCGTAACGAATGAAACAGGAACATCATTCTAAAAAGTATTTATTAATGGCTGATTTTGTTTTTTATTGACAGAATTTGATTTGGAGAAGGAAAAAAGTGTACTGGATGAGCAAGGGCTCAGGATAGCTGAAAATCAAGAAAACAGCCAGAAGAATAGGCGGAAGCTTGCAGAGAGCACTAGAGGTATGCCGTTTTATATTCTCATGATCAGACTAAATGTACTTTGTTTACATTGAAGGGATTTCTCTAATAGTAGTTGGTCTAGTGAGGGAAGAGGACTACCTCTCCCTGGGCCAGCCTGAATTACTTCTTGAAAGTGGAGATCTTGGGTACCTTGTAGAGGCCTTTTTTCTGTGATTTAATTGTTCCATCTCATTTTGCATGATAAAACATATTTGTTAATTTACAAATTGTTTTGCTGACAGATTTCAAGAAAGCTTCCCCAGAGGAAAAGCTAAATCTTTTTAACTCTTTACTTAGAGGTTACCAAGAAGAAGTTGATAATCTGACCAAGAGAGCAAAGTTTGGGGAGAATGCTTTTCTTAACATCTATCAAAAACTTTATGAGGCTCCAGATCCTTATCTGGCTCTTGCTTCAAGTGCTGTAAGTGCCACAATACTTCATTTAGCTTTCCATGGCAGCTAGTTTTTAATATTTTCTTGAAATATCAACCTTGAGTTGGTGCATCCTTTGATCCTTATACATTAATGCGAATGAACTTCAATGATGTTAAGCATTATATGCATGAATTAAATAACTCAGGTGATTCTCTTTGAACCAAAAAAATTGCTCTTTACACTTATGTCTTTGGTAAATTTTGAAATCCAATTTTTCCCTCCAAACAATTGAGGGGAAAAAAACTTTCCCCCTACCTCAGGATATTTCAGTGCTTGGCCAGCTCTATGGCAATTGCAGGGCATCATGGTGGTGGGTTGTTTTTCTATTTAAACTTGATTGAAAGTTAAAAATTGATGATGGGTATGAGTGTTATTTCATCAACAAAAGATTTGGGGATTAAAAGAGCAAGATTTTGGCTTTAAATATAATCCCATAACTCTCAAATGCAAGTGTATGATTACAGTTGTGAATCCAGTTGAAATATCATTCATTTATTAGTGTTGTTTGAGGAAATTTTCAGTGGTTGCTTGTTCATATAAATGAACTGGAAAAGTTCTATGATCAAAATCCTGCATCATTTGTTGACTCCATGTTGTATCTCTTGTGTGTACTCTGCTCTTTAGCTGTGTGCTGTGTCTCTATGTTTCATTAGTAAACTTGTATTCATCTCCTGCAGGAGCAAGATCTGAAATTGTCTGAATTAGAATCTGAGAATAGGAAAATGAAAGTAGAGCTTGAAGAATTCAGGACAGAAGCAACTCATTTAAAGAATCAACAGGCAACAATAAGAAGACTTGAAGAGCGCAACCGTCAGTTAGAGCAACAGGTGGGCTATGTTTAATATTAATTTTCTAAATTAAAAAACACCACTATATCTTTTGAGGTGGTTTGAAACTTTCAATTTCTCAATATGGCAACTGAATTTTTTTATTGGTAATGCAAAGTATTTACTAATAGCATCACTCCATCTCAAGTTAGACAAATGAATTGGGTTGATAAATGGTTTCTTCCCAGGCTCTCTCTTTGGTGAGGTATCTCTTAGTTAAAGGTGGATGTAAAATTGTAATCATGTAAACAGTTTTTTTAAAATGCAAATGATCATTACCTTCATTTATCATGCCATGTAGCTTCTTGTTCTTTCCCACTTTTTTTTTTTTTTTTTTTTTTTTTTTTTTTTGATGATCATTATGTTACTTTGTTATAATAATTAAAATGTAATTGTAGGAGTATTTGGCCATATTGGAAATTTAGAGCAGAACAAATATACACTCTTTAATCAGTGGTGATGTCTCTTTGTAATGAGTGAACTTTCTCATATGCTGTCAGATGGAGGATAAAGTTAAAGAAATTGTGGAGATCAAGCAACGCAGTTTTGCAGAAGAGAACCAGAAAATGCTTGAGGTCCTAAAGAAAGGTAACAATTCCTGTCTTATAGCCAGATTTATTTGAATGATGTCAGGGAAATTCTACATGATATCTCTGAATGGTTTTGTTTTGTGTCTTTTGATGTCTTATTGAAACTTCACTTTATACAGAGAGCAATTGTTGCAAGATCAATTACGACAAGCTAAAGACAGTGTTTTCAATATGCAGAAATTACATGAGCTTGCTCAAAGTCAATTGTTCGAGCTTCGTGCTCAATCTGGTGAGTGCCAAATTTCCTGATTTCTTCTCTAGAACATCTTTAATACATTCGCAAGATCCTCTGATATCATATTTTAGAAGTCATCTATCTCTCAAGCAAATATGATAAATTTTATTGAAGCACATCATGTTTTGTCTACTGATTTCAGATGAAGAGAGGGCAACCAAGCAATCTGAGGTCAATCTTCTGATGGATGAAGTTGAACGGGCCCAGACACGGCTTCTTAGTCTTGAGAGGGAGAAGGTGTGTGCGAAACCCAAAAGTTTTTATGTTACAAGATGAGTTGTTCATAATCCACTTTCAACATTCATTGTACATTCTTTATTTGTAGCTGTTGCATTGTAGTTTCATACTCTTTTATGCAAATAGATCATACGTTGTGAATTTTCATTGTTTGTTAAGGTCCAGGCTGCCACAATCATTGTTTATTCAATTTCTTGATTTTGCTTCTTGCAGTAAATGGTTCTTCATTGTTGAAGCCCCATTTTTCATTGAACATTTTGCAGGGACTTCTGCGCTCCAAATTAGACACAGCAAATGAAGACACTGAAAATAAGAACAGGTGAGGTACTTCAGAGTCTTACGTGTACTTCTATTTCCCCAGAGACTATGGTTTCAATTTATTTTCGTTGTCTTTCAGATGATAGTTATTTTATTCCATGAACAACGAAAATACAAAGGCCCTGCCTTAGAAATTTGGAATTTTTAATCTTAAAAATACATAATGTTTGTTATTTTATTGCAAAGATTCCATGAATTCTATTCTATGTCAAATATATGCTGCTCTAAGAAACTAAGCATAGTATTCGTAGAATTAAGAACTTATTAAAAGAAAAAAAAACAAATAGAAAAGAACTTCTTCCAATATTCTAGTGATGGAAGTAACTGATTGAATGAGTCTCTGCTATCTTCTCTCGTTCATTCTTTGTATGCATCAATCCTTTACCACAAGTATGTTAGTCGCAAATTGCAATCCACTAGTCCAGTGGATAGTATATACTTGAAAATTTTAGAAGAGAAACTTATCAGCCATCTGTATAGGAAAAGTTTAGATGAATGTTTGTGATCTTCACTTGGGTGCTCCTCCCTTCATCCTTGAGCTTGTCAGATGTTAAAGTTTAATGAGAGGGTGTCGTCTTGAATTGATTTATTAGAACAGCCCTTGGTACCAGTTAGGGTGGACTTATATTCTAGTAACATGTTTCGTGAATTTTTGGCATCCTATTGCCATAGTGTCGGATTTTGGGGTTTTTACCCTGCTCTATAAGTGGGATTATAGATATTTGATGTATCTATAGTATTCTGTTCCTCCATTGCGATTAAGCTTTTGTATAGATTGGTTCTTTTGTCTTTGGGTTATCTTTTTATATCTTAAGTTTATTGCTGTGCTACAGTGATACTTCAGATTCAAATAGCATCCTTGAGAATTCTTTAATTGCCAAAGAGAAGATCATCGCCGAACTCAACATGGAACTGCACAATATTGAAACAACATTATCAAATGAAAGAGAGGAACACCTGAACGAGATCAAGAAGTTGAACGCATTGCTCATTGAAAAGGTATACTAATTTTATTGCTTCAGCTCACTGAAAGATCCTAGTCTTGCTTTGTAGTTCTATGATGCTCCAGAAACTGAAGTCATGCAATCGCCACCTTCTCATCTGATGGCCTGTGTTATATAATTGAGCTCCCAGCTCCTCTTCTGTACCACAGTTTATTTTAATGTCTTCTCTTTTCCTCTAACCATTTTATTTTATGCCTTTTAATTAAGGACGCTGCTCTCGAGGAGATGAAGAAAGAGCTTCAGGGCAGGCCAACAACAAAACTGGTTGATGATTTGCGTAAAAAGGTGAAAATTTTGCAGGTAATGCCATCTTTCTCTACATTCTTTATCTCAGAAGTTGCCTGTTATAAATTTAGCTTCAGTTTCATGAGTGTTATTGAAAGTTTTTTTAGTTCTTTTATTGTTTAGTTTTTTTCTTGTACTTGTTTTCTTTTCTGTTTGGAGAAATTAGAAGGACATAGTTGGTAGGAAACTAATTACTATTTCTTATTGTCAAATTGCATTCACTTTGCATGATGACTGGAATAAATTCACTACGATGTACCTTCAGTGTTACTGTTTCAAGTATGTTGTCTATCAGTCTACAATGGGAATCCATGTATGGGACTCCTGTGAAAATAGGCCGGAATGATTGGGGTCATGTTGGTAAATTGAAATGGTAATTGGCATTACTGAGTATACTAATACTTTAGTCCAACTATGATGTATAAGACATGTATTTTACTTGAATAAATCAAGTTCTCTATCAATGATTATTTTAAATGCTTACATCAGTGGTCTATTATATATATATATATATATATATTTTTTTTTCTGCTTTGTTCTTGTCCATCTTAATTTTATTCTCTTCTATTTATCTCCGGGTTTGTATTGTTTATTTGTTCTCACTTATCTTCTTTTCTTCCATAGAATTCCTTGTTATTTTGAAGCATTGTTCTTATTTTCCTGGTACCCCAACAGTGTTCTGTTAATCTCTCTTTAACTTCACATTATTATATTTGTAGGCAGTGGGTTATAATTCCATTGAGGCTGAAGATTGGGAAGTAGCCACAAGCGGGGAAGAGATGAGCAAAATGGAGTCTCTTCTTCTTGATAAAAACCGGAAAATGGAGCATGAACTCACACAGTTGAAAGTATGAAGACATGCATGCACGTGCAGACGCATTTGATTGGATTACTGTTTAGCTCTTGTCAGAGATTGATACGTATTCTATTACTAATCTGTCATTTTGTCTGATGTATTTTTTATTGTGCTGCTTTCAGGTCAAACTTTCGGAGAAAGCATCGTTGCTGGAAAAAGCTGATAGCAAGACAGCAGAACTTACAGTAAAGGTTAATGAACAACAAAAGTTAATCCAAAAGTTGGAGGATGACATACTGAAGGTGGGGATCAATGGCTCATTGGGGGTCTGAATGAGTGTGTTACTTTTGGCTTCCATGATATGAACTATATAAAGTATATGGATATATTCGACTTTTTTTTTTCCCAGTTACAATTTTGACAAATGGAGTTACTTTAGATTTTATAAATATATAATGAGTTAGGTATTGACATAAACGCATTCAAACTCACATGCACATATGTGCAACCATCATATGATGCATAACTATGTATGCTAGTTGCCCCCACGATTCTCTAAATTTTTACTTTTCCCTTTCTAATGCAGGGCTATAGTTCCAAGGATAAGAAAGGAAGCCTATTTGATGACTGGGATCTTTCAGAGGCTAGGAGCACTGAGGTGTCTGAGGTACCCCTCATCTGTCTCCCTGCCTCCCCTCTACATATCTCCGTTTCTCTAATTTTTGACAAATATTTTTCTCCACATAAAAGTCCATCAGTCATAAGGTCAATAATTTCGAAAATATACTTCTTTGCTGCAATAATGCATGCATTCTCTTTCCTTCCTGGCTGCTTTGTTAGTATTAGTCGTCAATCAAAGATTTTTATTCCTGGGAGATATCATGATGTTAAGGTGTAAGAAAGTTTGAAATCACCTAGTTAATTGTATTGTTATTGGGTAGTCCTCATTGAAGCATATCATGCATTCTTAGCAAAATATATCAAGTTTTGTCTTTTTGGTTTTGCAAATTCGAGAGTATGTCCAACGCATGCTGATGCCCGTGGATCACTTCAGCAACCTGTGCAGTAGGTTTTGGCAGGTTTTAGACTGCATGCCAGTGCTTTGGTATATTCAGTTAATGACATTGGTGATGATTGTCAAATTTGTTCACAATTATTATATCACTGGTGCCCGGCCTATTTGGTTTCGAGCCTTTTGACAATTTAATCGTCAAAATATGTGACATATTTTTTATTAATATACTTGTGAACTTTCTGTGCTAATTGCTAATTTGTAGTTAAGTGATAGATCTTGACATGTACTATAAATTCCATATTACTCGCTTTGGTTAAGTAATCATTTGGTTTCACATTAATTTATCTTATTCTAGATCTAATAGCCTTTCTGAATCAGAATGCAGATCAAAAGCACGTTTCCTCGGACCAAGATCAAAGCTCAATGCTTAAGGTTATCTGTAACCAGCGAGATCGATTCAGGACACGCTTGAGAGAGACAGAAGAAGTACGTTGTTTATTTTCAAACATCCATAATTGCTTTAGTTTTTTAATCTGCCATATCATATGGCTAGATTACTGGTCCAATCATTTGACTGTGCTGACTGATTTTGTTGTATTAGGAAATAAGGCAGTTGAAGGAAAGGATAGGAGCGTTAACAGCAGAACTGGAAAAGACAAAAGCTGATAATGTTAAACTCTATGGAAAGATTCGTTATGTTCAGGATTACAGTCTTGAAAAAGTAGTTTCTAGAGGATCAAAAAAGGTACTCTACATATGTTGCTATTTTCATCCCATTATGTGCTTTTAGTACCTTTTTCACTTTTTTGGTCAGAGTGCTTTTAGCTCCTTAATATATTCTGTTCCTTTTTGTGGTAATTTCAGCCTGCAGAGGATCTTGAAAGTGGTTTCTCCTCAGATGTTGAATCCAAATACAAGAAGATATATGAGGATGACATAAATCCTTTTGCAGCCTTCTCGAAAAAGGTTGCTAATTTTTACTTTCTGGTGAAATTATACGTTTGTTATCAAAGATGCTTTCATCCTGGAATTTATTCTTTTTTACTTTCCTTTATTTGTTAGATATCATATATTAAACTTAATTTACTCGTAACAGGAAAGGGATCAGAGGTACAAGGAGTTGGGTTTCAGGGATAGAATTACACTTAGCAGCGGACGTTTTCTTCTTGGCAACAAGTAAGATCGCATTATGTTATTCTCAATTACTCGGAATGTGCCTCATAAAAATAATTTATATTGGAAAGGGGGTGTGTTCAAACCATTTTTGGGTGCTAATAAAATAACTGTTCGAGTGTTTTTCGTCTCTAAATACAAACATATTTCAAGTTAATTTACTGAGGAGAATTATCATGCAGGTATGCTCGGACTTTCGCATTTTTCTACACTATTGGGTTGCATATACTGGTGTTCACCTGTCTCTACCGAATGTCAGCTCTGAGCTATCTTAGGTATTGAACTATCCGTTGATTTTGTAGCAGTTTTTATGGTTAGCTTTCTCACCCCTTGAATTATTTATTATTTTTTTTGCAGCAATGGTCAGGAGGATGTAATTATTGGCGATAAACAACTGAACCTCCCACATGCGCTCTAGAATTACATGACAAAATATGTATATAAACCGACCAAAAATTTACCAAACATTATGGTATTCTTTATGTTTCCTCCAGATTTGATTATAACGATATTGGGATTTTCGTTTAATTTTTTTTTTGGGGGGTACCGTGGGAGATATACTGGAAAATTTTCATCCCAATACGTAATTTATTGAAAACATTTATCATGTGACCAAAAGTAGTAACTTCTCTGCAACCTAAGGTAGTTGCAATTGGTACAAACGTGCCACGAGTTTAGGTCACAAACTATAGACTACCAATATTTAAAGCTAATAAAAAGAATGAACCCTGAAAACCCTTTTTGAAATCCTACTTGGTGTAGGAAATCCTAGCTCATGTCGAAAAGGGTTTCAGTTAATAAGCCTGTTTGAAATCCTACTTGGTTTAGGATATCCTCTTTGTCAGTCAGTTGCCTATATAAATATTATTAAGTCCTACGAAAAAATGTGTGAAGCGTACAGTTTTGGCTGGCCATCCTTAAACGTGTGGTTTTTGGCGTGCATATTCCAATAAAAACTTCACTAGCTAGTTCTGCCAGAACAGGTTTCCAGAAACCTAAACACTAATCCCATCGGTGGTTAACTTCAATCGGATTGGAGATGGCGAAACAGTTCAGGAAGAAGGTGTTGAGTCGAGAAGATGATGAAGATGAGACTGCACAAAACAGAAGAGAGAAAGAGAGAGGGGTTAAACGACAACCAACTTCCCCACATGAAGCAAATGATGACGATGACGGTTCAGAGTCTGAACAAGAGAGATTGCGTGATCAAAGAGAGAGGGAGCAATTGGACCGTAATATAAGGGAGCGGGATGCAGCAGCAACGCGAAAGCTATCAGAGCAAAAGCAGGCTTTTACCACTCGGAGAAGCAATATTGTTGGCGACGTTGAAACTTTAAGAAAAGTTTCAAGACAAGAATATTTAAAGAAAAGAGAGGCAAATAAATTAAAGGAGCTTGGAGAATCTATAGAAGATGGGGAGTACTTGTATAAAGGCGTTAAGCTTACTGAAGCGGAATACAATCGATTAAGTTACGAGAAGAAAATATATGAGCTTGCGACGAAGCATGAAGCTGCTACTCATCATGATCATGATCATTACTACAGGATTCCGGAACCCTATGACGATCATGAGGGCGGTGTTAATCAGGAGAAGCGATTCTCGGTGGCTTTACAGCGTTGCTGGGATGATGACCTGAATGCCAGGGATAAAAAATCGAACCCTTTTGCAGAACAGAAGGCCTGGGAGGATCAGCAAATTGGGAAGGCAACATTGAAGTTTGGTTCGAAAAACAAAAGGCGAAAATGTGATGAGGAGTATGATTTTGTATTTGAAGACCAGATTGAATTTGTCAAGGCGTCAGTACTACTGGAGGGTGATCAGATGATTGCTAACGGTAATGTTGATGTCGGGAAATTACAACCATCCCATCAGTTGGATAAGCTGCGGGAGGAGAGGAAAACATTACCTATCTACTCATTTCGTGAGAGGTTGCTCCAAGATGTTGAAAAAAATCAGATACTTATTATTGTGGGCGAAACTGGATCTGGAAAAACTACACAGATACCTCAATATCTACACGAGGCCGGGTACACAAAGGGAGGAAAGAAGATTGGGTGCACACAACCACGGCGAATTGCTGCTATGAGCGTTGCTGCCAGGGTTTCTCAAGAGATGGGTGTCAAGCTTGGGCATGACGTCGGTTATTCCATCCGTTTCGAGGATTGCACCTCGGAGAAGACTGTTCTGAAATACATGACAGATGGAATGCTGCTGCGAGAATTCCTTGTTGAGCCAGATTTGGCAAGCTACAGTGTGGTGATGGTGGACGAGGCTCACGAGAGAACACTGTCAACGGATGTTTTGTTAGGATTGCTCAAGGACATTGCACGTTACAGACCTGATCTTAAACTGATCATTTCAAGTGCTACTCTCGATGCTGAGAAGTTCAGTGACTTCTTTGATTCCGCCAAGATTTTAAGAATCCCTGGGAGACGGTATCCGGTTGATATACACTACATGGAAGCACCGCAGGCTGATTACCTAGATGCAGCAATTGTGGCTGCACTTCAAGTACACGTGACACAACCGCCTGGGGACATATTGGTTTTTCTCACTGGTCAGGAAGAAATTGAAACCGCGGAGGAGATATTAAAACACAGGACAAGGGGGTTAGGGACGAAAATTAGTGAGCTTATAATCTGTCCCATATATGCAAACCTGCCCACGGAGCTGCAGGCTAAAATCTTTGAGCCCACACCGGAAGGGGCTAGAAAAGTTGTCCTTGCTACAAATATTGCAGAGACCTCTCTAACTATTGATGGGATCAAATATGTCATTGACCCCGGCTTCAGCAAGATGAAATCTTATAATCCGAGGAGTGGGATGGAGTCACTGCAAGTCACCCCGATCTCAAAGGCATCCTCCATGCAAAGGGCAGGTCGGGCTGGTCGAACAGGCCACGGGAAGTGCTTCCGGTTATACACTAGTTACAACTATGACAGTGATTTAGATGATACCACAGTTCCGGAAGTGCAGCGGACTAACCTCGCCAATGTTGTTCTCACGCTCAAGAGCCTCGGCATTCATGACTTGGTGAATTTCGAGTTCATGGACCCTCCACCTTGTGAAGCATTACTAAAAGCCCTGGAATTGTTGTTTGCACTCGGTGCATTAAACAAAGTGGGGGAGCTAACTAAAGTTGGTAGACGGATGGCGGAGTTCCCTGTTGATCCAATGCTATCTAAAATGATCGTTGCCTCGGACAAGTACAAGTGCTCAGATGAGGTAATCTCCATTGCTGCCATGCTTTCCACTGGTAGTTCAATCTTCTATCGTCCAAAAGACAAACAAGTACATGCTGACACTGCAAGGTTGAGGTTTCACAGTGGGAATGTGGGAGATCACATTGCATTGCTTAAGGTTTACAATGCATGGAAAGAGGCAAATTACTCGACGCAATGGTGTTACGAGAACTATATACAAGTTAGGAGCATGAAAAGAGCAAGAGACATCCGTGATCAACTTGAGCGCCTCTTGGAGAGGGTTGAGATCAAGCTCAGTAGCTCAAATGATTTAGAGGCCATAAAGAAGGCCGTTACATCAGGATTCTTCCCTCATTGTGCTAGGCTGCAAAAGAATGGGTCATATAGAACAATCAAACATCCGCACACTGCCCATATACACCCCAGCTCAGGGATTATGGCATTGGAACATCATGTGCTTCCTAGATGTGTTTTGTACCATGAACTGGTACTGACTACCAAGGAATATATGAGACAGGTCACAGAGATAAAGCCGGAATGGTTGGTTGAAATAGCTCCACATTATTACCAGTTGAACGGCGTCGTTGAGGAGGATTACTCAACTTCAAAGAAGATGCCTCGTGGAAAAGGCCGTACAAGCACTTCAAAGCAAATTCCTAGTCTTGTTGATTACAGCATATGTGTATGATTAGACATATGAGTTTTTTCTGAAATTATTTTTATATATGTACATCTCCATTTAATTTTGCATGAGTGAGAATACATAATTCTTGTGTCTTTGTGCAGCATGGAGAATGACATCCATTAGATAAGATAAGTCCGAGGATTATGATCAACACTAACAATGCCTCCAATTTCAATCCTACGATTATGATCAACACTAAATTCACTAAAAAAATAAGGGAGATTCACTATTATACCAAATATGGAGGCCCAAATTATAAAAATACTCCATATGAAATGAACTTTATAAACACACCCAAAGCTCATTTACAACATAACAAAGATGTTTTAACTTCTTATAAATTACAAAACTATCATAAATTTCTTAAAACAAGTCCAACCCTCAAAATCTCATAAAAATACCCAAAATACTCAATAGGGTATTAAAATAATTTAATAATCAAAATTAAATTCAATAATGCCACATGTCATTTTTTGGGTTTTTTTTGGGCTTGTTTATAGAAATTCAATGGTTTATGGTTTATCTATAATATTAGTGCTAAGAATGTGTATATCACTGAATATCTCAAAAAATAAACATGGAAAATCAAACCTTGCAGATAGGAAATTCCCAAATTGCACTTCCCAGCTAGGTCTCCTAGGTCTGTAGCGTCCACCATAGCCATGGGCCAATCCGGAGTGGCCTGTTGATTGCTTCGGTTACTTCTTGGGCTTCAGCTTAGGTTACGCAGCCCAGTGTTTGGAAAACTTAATTCCAAGGTGGCCCACTTAGCCAGCCACCAAGCCAAAAAATTTCTCTCTTGAGGAACTTTATTTTAGTGCAATAAATGAGGACACAAAATTTAGCCGTTAGATCCATACAGACTGTTGAGATCAAATTTCCCCCCTAACTTACAATAGAGTCGATGAAACCCAAACCCAAAATTAATACCCAGCAAAACACTCACGAGGTTGAAGTTTGAACACAAAAAACCCATAGTGCTAAGAAACATAGATAAACTGGTTTGGAATTCGGCTTAATGACAGTTGAAGGTAACTTTGTTCCCTAAACCCTGAAAAATTAGTTAGTTTGAGTGGAAGGGGAGAAGCTGTGCCGTATTCCTTAGAGTAAAACCGTGATTCTTCCATTTCGAAAGTGATAGGTGTGAATATGTGTTTCATCGGGATTTTTCAAGCTTTGGGTTGAAGACAACCCGACTACAACTTAAGTTTCTTTTTTAATCCAGTCGTCCAATTTTATCCAACGGTTGCAATATGTCCTCATTTAAGTTCCTCAATTAAGGTTTCTCAAGAGAGACAAGCTCCACAAAGCCATCCTACTACTTTGTTTTATTTTTTGGATTTTTTTTTTTTTTTTTTTTTTTTTTGTTCGTTCCTTTTTTTTTTTTGTTTCCTGTCCACTATTCTAGATGGAACCTCTCCTTTTTGTTTTTGGTTTTCTTGAAAATAAAGGGAAAAACAATTTTTGAAATTGATCTGGTGAAAGGTAAGGCTTGCAAAGAAAGTAATCTTGTTTCCTAATTTCATAGTTGTGGTCCCTACAACTCTATTATACCAAAACTTGTTCAAAATTCGGATCCTAAAATGGCATGGTTCGCGTATATGCAAGCAGCAGAATATACTTACAGAGCATGTGTTGTAATTGACCGGCGAGAAAAAAAGAAAGCAAGAGTAGGTGGATGTAGTGTAGACATGGAAATGATAGGATGCATGTGACTGAACAAAAGCACGGCATTCCATTTATGACAATCTTGGACTCTCTGTCTCCTTTTTCGTTTTCCTTTTTGGGGTTTGTTTTGTTGTATGCGCTCCATTTCCTCTAGCTTGAGTGAGGAAGATAGATAGAATTAGTCGTCGGCTGTTTTTTTTGGGATGATCTATTCCTTCTAGCTACACATAATTCCTTAAAAACACAAAAGGTTTTATGGATTCTGGTCCTTCACGTGACACTACTACATATCACATGCACTTTGATTTTGCGTCTTTACTTTCCTAAATGGTGAATTATTTACAAAGAATGTTTGAAATACAATTGAGTTTTGTCATACAAACAAAAATCTCAACTTAGTCCAAAATCAATATAGTCCTCCTCAACTAGCTTTAGTACAATTTTCAGTGGGATGTTTATGAGCATTGCAAAATTTCTATGCTCAACTACATTTCATGGTTAGCCAGCCACAAAGCCATCGTACTACTGATCATTCCATAGAACCTCTCCTTGTTGTTTTTCGGTTTTCTTGAAAATAAAAGGGAAAAAACAATTTTTGATGTTGATGTGGTGAAAGGAAAGGCTGCAAAGACAGTAATCTTGTTTCCTAATTTCCTAGTTGTGGTCCCTACAATTCTATTATACGAACACTTGTTCAAAAAGTCTCATCCTAAAATGGCATGGTTCGTTCTCATATGCAAGCAAGTGGGTGGATGTAGACATGGAAATAATTTTTTGGATGAAAGACATGGAAATGATGGGATCAAAAGAATGGCATTCCATTTATGACAATCTTTGCCTCTCTCTCTCTCCCCCCTCTTTCTTTTGCCTTTTGTGGTTTGTTTTTTGTTGCATGCGCTCCATTTCCTCCAATTTGAGCGAGGAAGATGGATAGAATTAGTCGTTGGCTCTTTTTCTGTGGGATGATCTTTTCCTTCTATCTACACATAATTCCTTAAAAACACAAAAAAGTTTTGTGGATTATGGTCCTTGACGTGACACTATTACATATCATATGCGCTTTAACTTTGCGTCTCTACTTTCCTAAATAAGGTATTAAATATTCTTTTTTCCTTCCCTTAGCACTCTTAATTAGTAAAACTTATGTAAATTAATAAGATGGACTATAAGACCTTATTAATATAAAATGCAAAGGATCCTAGGGATGTTTAGTTTGTACCCTTGTTAATAATTAACATATATGCAGGTGTGTAGTATTTTAAATTTAAACAGCTCGTACAAGGTTGTGTGATTATTAATGTATTAGCTACTCAATGGCAATGGCCTTATGTTATATTGGATATGTTTGTTTATGTATTTATGTAGTACGTAACGTATCTGTGTGTAGAGAGGTCCTCCTTTGTAATACTATGATGGACATTGCTATTTTCTTTCTTCAAGGTTCTCCTTTTCTATGTTGAATAAATATCAAACAGCAACGAAATTGTGAGAGAAATAACTAGTCATCCTAAATATAGTTCGCATGTATCGTGTCTGAAATTTTTTACGCATCCAAATGTGCGACTGATGCTGACATTTTCTCTTAATATATAAAGAGTCAAACAATGGAATACACAAGTTATTAATTGTTTAAATTGTCTGTCAAATGATCTTAGTAAAACAGGATATGCATGGCCATCATAGTATTACAAAGCAGGACCACTCTACACATTGCCTGTCAAATGAGCTTAGTGGTCCAGTTGTGGATAAACAAACACATCCATCATAAGTTAACACAAGGCCATGGCCATTGAGCAGCTAATACATTAATAATCACACAATTCCTAGCATAGGAGATGTTTAAATTTATAATATTACATACCTAGCATAGGAGATGTTAATTATTAACAAACAGCCCCAGGATCCTTTGCATTTTATATTAAATATATAAGGTCTGAAAAGCTATATATATATATATATATCCAAGAAACTATAAATGTTTGATAATATAAGAGGATTTTAAAGCTCAACAAACCTCGACTATTATCCTGCAAACATTGCTTAAGAAAACTCGAATATTATAAGAAACTAGAAATGCTTAATTTCTTCTTTTTTAATTTCAGAAATGCAAGTACAGTATGTGGGCCCCTCAGCACCACTATAAATCTAGCACACTTGACTTGAGTTGAGTATCATTTCTGCACAATTAACCTTTCAGCCATGGCTTCCTCCACCATCGCTGGCTTCCTCTTCCCTACCTCTTCCTTCCCACCAAACCAGCCCCAAAAATGTTCACTGCCCAGAAACCTCATGAAATACCATACCGGCAGAGTGCGGTGCAAAGCAACTGACGATGATCACGGTCTCAACAGGAGGAACATGCTGGTTCCTCTAGGAGCCGGAGTTCTATACGGCGCGGCGGGTTTAACCAACCCCTTTGCTTTTGCCTTGCCCGTAGGCCCGGACTTGACCAAGTGCGGCCCATCTGAGAAGCCCGACGGATCCACCATTGAATGCTGCCCACCCACCACCACATCCATTCTCGATTTCAAATTGCCCGACCCGGGCCCACTCCGAACCAGGCTTGCCGCCCAAGATCTCGCGAAAGACCCTATTTACTTGGCCAAGTACAAAAAGGCGATCGAGCTCATGCGGGCTCTACCCCACGATGATCCCCGCAGCCTGGCTCAACAGGCCGAGGTTCACTGCTCATATTGCAATAACGGGTACCCGCAAGTCGGCTATCCGAATCTGAAGATGCAAGTTCATTCATGTTGGCTTTTCTTTCCGTTCCACCGCTGGTACCTCTACTTCTACGAGAAGATCATGGGGGAGCTCATCGGGGACCCCACCTTCGCTCTCCCCTTTTGGAACTGGGACGCGCCAGCTGGCATGTGCATTCCGGAGATTTTCACCGACCCCACTTCCTCCCTCTACGATCAGTACCGAAACGCAAAGCATCAGCCCCCGAAGCTCCTAGATCTCAATTACAGTGGGACAGACGATGAGGTTGACGACGCCACCCGAATCAAGGAGAATCTGACCACCATGTACCAGCAGATGGTGTCCAAGGCTAAGTCGCACCGGCTCTTCTACGGCACCCCGTACAGCGCCGGCGACCACCTGATCCCCGGAGAGGGAAATCTCGAGCTTATCCCGCATGACAATATCCATTTCTGGACTGGTGACCCGAAGCAGGCCCACCGAGAGGATATGGGCACTTTTTACTCGGCGGGGCGGGATCCTCTGTTTTACGCCCACCATTCAAACGTGGACCGCATGTGGTCCATTTATAAATCAAAACTGGGCGGTACGGATATAGAGAAAACTGACTGGTTGGACACTGAGTTCTTGTTCTACGACCAGAAGAAGAATCTGGTGCGCGTCAAGGTTCGAGACTCCATCGACACCACGAAGCTCGGTTACGTCTACGATGACAAAGTCGAGATTCCGTGGCTGACGTCGAAGCCGACCGCCCGCAAATCTTCAAACAAGAGAAAGCCGACGGTTTCCTTTGCTGATCTGACGACGAAGTTCTCGTTGACCGACACGATTAGCGTTGAGGTGAAGAGGCCGTCGAGGACGAAGCGGACAATGACGGAGAAGGCGGCGCAGGATGAGGTGCTGGTGATCAAAGGGATAGAGTTTGCCGGGAACGAGACGGTGAAGTTCGACGTGTATGTGAATGATGATGCTGAGTCGCTGGCCGGGAAGGACAAGTCAGAGTTTGTGGGGAGTTTCATCGACTTGCCTCATAAGGAGAAGAAGGATATAAAGAAGAACCTGATGTTGAGCATAACGCAGCTGTTGGAGGAATTGGATGCTGAAACGGACAGTAGCGTGGTGGTGACTTTGGTGCCGAAAGTTGGGAAGGGGACAATCACCATTGGTGGCTTCAGCATTGAGCTTATTAATACCACCTAAATTAAATCATGATGATGATTTAATTAAGTAGTTATTAACATATTAAGCAGTAATTAAGTAGTAATCATGATGGCTGCAGAGATCCACGTAACGTAACCCTAGGGGGTCTGACCAACAAAAACGTAACCCTGCTGCTGCTTCCTGCTTGTGTACGTATGGGGGGACCGATGTTTGTTTTTCTGAATAGAACATATATATATATATATATATATATATATATGTTCAGTGTGTTTAAATTTCATGTTTGTTTTTTATGTATTTATGAAGAGCAGATACATGCTCTCGTGGTCTTATTTTCTTTCCCCCTGTTTACACAATAGACATTTCTCAATATTAATTGTTAAAAAAATAATAGTAAACAAAAAAATTTTAAAAAGAAAAACAAGAAGAACAAAGAGAAATAAGTAAGAGCAGCTTTTTGTAATTTTTGAAAAAAGGAGAAGAGCAGTTAAGATAAATAAATACAACCAAAAAAAAAAGGACGTTGGAGAAGAAGTGCAGTAAAGAAACGGAAAAAGAAGAAGAAGTGCAATCAATAGCCATTACAATGTTTGGAAGAAGAACCGCAAACATACCAAGTATATGCAAATTATTCGTAAACAAAGAAGAAAGATATTTGACACAGACAACATTGATCATATTTGATTTGTATGATATTATTAGTTGCTAAAAAAGAAAGAGTAAGGAAATTGCATTCTTACACGGAAGCTTAATGCAATAGCCATTAGTACTATATATATGTTCAGAAGAAGAGCCTAGATGTGGCATAATTGCTATATATATATATATATATATATATATATATACTGCAACACAAATATGCCAATTGTGTAAATTATTTGGGACTCAATCAACAACAAATGTGTTTTGGAAAAAAAATAAATAAATATATTGGACACTAACATTGATCCCAATTAAGTATTTTGATCCCAATTAAGTTCCATATAAATCGAAATCGAGAGCAGGGTTGTTCTCATCTTTATATTTAATTAGCACATTTTATTTGTCGTCAACTATAATGATATGCCATTCTCAGGTCGAACTTGGAGTCACGACTCCGTATAGGGACATAAATTTTTTGTTCATATCTAGTCGCAAAAAGCTTATGGGTCAAGAGATTTAAACCACCGGTTAATTTTTTTTTAAGCATCTTTTGAAAGCTGCCTTCTCCCTGCTTTGAAAAAACAGCAGTCACTGATTGCAATTTTAAAAAAAAAAGTGCTACTAAACGAACCCTAATATTAACTGAGTATACCTTACTGCCAAACTACTTATTGAATTACTAATTTACCATAGCATAAAATGACAAAAACAAATTTAAGGTGTCACTACTACAAAAAGTGAAAAGACGATCAGAAAAAGACGACGGTAGAAGAAAAAACTGTCATCGTATTTAAAAAAATGACGATAACAAAAAACCATCGTGGATAAGTGACTTAAACAACTAAAAAACGGAGGTACTGTTAAATTTTTTTATAACGATGCACACAAATAAAAAAGCGTCGTCTTATTAAAAAGGTTTTCTTCAGAGTTAAAATCTGACCAAAAAACAACGACAGCAGGTATGACAAACATCGTCTTTTAAAAATCAAGTGTCCTTTTTTTGGGTAAAGGCATGGTTGTTTTGAAAGAACTGTCGTCTATTATATGTAAAGATGACCGTTTTTTTAAAAAATGGTCGTCTATTATGAAGTAAAGATGACGGTTTTTTTTACTAATAGGTTGTCTATTATATGTAAAGATGACGATTTTTTACAAACCGTTGTCTATTATATGTAAAGATGACGCTTTTTATAAAAACCGTCGTCTATTATATGTAAATTTAGATGACGATTTTATAAAAACCATCATCTATTATATGTAAAGATGACGCCTTTTATAAAAAAAATCATCGTCTATTATATGTAAAGATGACCCTTTTTATAAAAACCGTTGTCTATTATATGTAAAGATGAAGATTTTTTTTTTTAAAGGGTCGTCTATTATATATAAAGATGATGCTTTTTATGAAAAATGGTCGTCTATTATATGTAAAGATGATGGTTTGTTAAAATAATCGTTAAATCATGATTTTTCATTTATAGCCATCGAAATTTTTTGTCCTGTTACTTGATCTCTGAATGTTTATTTTTTCGATTTTTTGTGTATATGATCTCGAAGTATAAACAAGTTTGACGGTTGGATCGTTGAAACTAGTTTCTTAGAATGCGTATGCCATCAAAACAATATATTCACTAACAATTAAGAGTTTATTTATACTTTCGTTAAATATAACATAAGATTTTGTGTTATCCACTAGTGTAAATATTTTAAATTGAAGATCAAATTCAGTCATTGTATTCATATAGGGTCAAGGAGTGTAGCGGTAAAAAATCATCAAAATCGGAGTTAAAATAACTGTTAAATCATGATTTTTCATTTATAACCATCGAAATTTTTTGTCCCGTTACTTGATCTTTGAATGTTTATTTTTTTCGATTTTTGGCGTATATGATCTCGAAGTATAAACAAACAAGTTTGACGGTTGGATCGTTGAAACTAGTTTCTTAGAATGCGTATGCCATCAAAACAATATATTCACTAACAATTAAAAGTTTATTTATACTTTCGTTAAATATTTTAAGATTTTGTGGTATCCACTAGTGTAAATATTTTAAATTGAAGATCAAATTCAATCATTGTATTCATATAGGGTCAAGGAGTGTAGCGGTAAAAATCATCAAAATCGGAGTTAAAATAACCGTTAAATCATGATTTTTCATTTATAACTGTCGAAATTTTTTGTCCCGTTACTTGATCTCTGAATGTTTATTTTTTCCGATTTTTGGCGTATATGATCTCGAAGTATAAACAAACACGTTTGACGGTTGGATCGTTGAAACTAGTTTCTTAGAATGCGTATGCCATCAAAACAATATATTCACTAACAATTAAGAGTTTATTTATATTTCATAACATAAGATTTTGTGGTATCCACTAGTGTCGTCTATTATATGTAAAGATGATGGTTTGTTTAAAAAAGGGTCTTCTATTATGAAGTAAAGATGATGCTTTTTATAAAAAAAACTATCGTCTATTATATGTAAAGATGACGCTTTTTATAAAACAACCGTCGTCTATTATATGTAAAGATGACGTTGTTTATAAAAAAACCGTTGTCTATTATATGTAAAGATGACGCTTTTTATAAAAAACCGTCGTCTATTATATGTAAAGATGACAATTTTGTTTAAAAAAAGCTCGTCTTTTAAAACACGCTAAAAAATGGCCGCTTAAGTGAATTTGCGCTCGACAAATTTTCAAATTTTCACCCGTCTTTGAAAACCTTATCTCTCATTAACAAGCGTCGTCTTTTAAAACACGCTAAAAAAAGGCTACTTAAGTGAATTCGCGCTCAACAAATTTTCAGATTTTCCCCCATCTCTAAAAACCTTATCTCTCCCTCCTTGAAACCCTCCTGCACCCTCTAAAACATCCTCATGAAACTCTCTACAAAATAATCAAAAAATCTATATCAATGAAGGAGTTGAGAGATTGAGGTCTTCGCAGATCCATAAGATGTAGAGGGATGTTCTGTATTTGAGAATCAAAGTTGGTTGAAAGGTTTGATTTGAAAGTCACCTATTCTCTTAATACCCTTCTATATCTTGCTAGTGAATTCTGGATTAGTCTCTTTGCGTTTTTGGTATGTTCTTTGTCTCCCTAATTTCAGATTTTGTCTCTTTTGATTTGTCTGGTTTGTTTACATATTTTTTTTATATTTTTGGTTTCTTTTTAGATTTTCTGATTTGGTTATCAGGAGATGAGGAGGGAGCTTGCAGATTTATAACTTTTTCTTTTGCAGGTTTTCTATGTGAGTCGTATGTTTTTTTGTTGTTGAAAATTTGCAGGTTCTCGATGGTCTTTTTTATGCTCATTTTACAAGTTTTCTATGGAAATATGGACCAATGGTAAAATTTCTCTTCCACCTAATTTTTTATGTTTATAATCTTAGCTTTTTTTTTTTTTCTCTCTTTGTCATTTTGATTTATTTACAGGGATGATGGAGGAGACTTCAGTTGTGCATCATTTGTATGTTTGGATGAGGAATGCTTGGATTAGGAGTACGTAGGTCTTGTTAGGAATTATGTTTGTTGTAGAATAAAGATTGGTTAACTTTGTAATAACTATTGAATCTTCAAGTTTTATGAAAGAAACTATTTTTGAGTGTATATATTCATTAATAAAGCATTATGGTTGGTTTTCTAGTTAAAATCGTTGTATAGCATCATAGGAAATAAAAAAGAACTAAAATGTAGCAGTTTGGAAACTTATTAGACGACGGTTTTATAATAAATCATGGTCTTTACAGATAATTAACGATGATTTTTATAAAAAAAATGGTCGTCTATTATACGTAAAGATAACGATTTTTATAAAAACCGTCATCTATTATATGTAAAGATGACGCTTTTTATAAAAACCGTCGTCTATTATATGTAAAGATGACGATTTTTTACAAAAACGGTCGTCTATTATATGTAAAGATGACGCTTTTTATATATAAAAAAAACAGTCGTCTATTATATGTAAAGATTACGTTTTTTATAAAAAAAAACCGTCGTCTATTATGAAGTAAAGATGACGGTTTTTTTTTATTATAAAAATGGTCGTCTATTGTGAAGTAAAGATGACCTTTTTTTTAAAAAGGTCGTCTATTGAATGTAAAGATGACGGTTTTTATAAAACAATCGTCGTCTTTATAAACAATCCACGACTGTTTTCATAAAAAATCGTCCTCTTTACATACAATACACTACGGTTTTATTAAAAACAGTCGTTTTTTCTCCTATAATTAACGATCTTTACCTCTAAATGACGACGATTTTCTTTAAAAACCGTCGTCGTTACAGATAAACAACAACGGTGAAAAGCCGTCGTAGTTTGACACCCAAATAGATGTCGGTTGATTTCACGACGGTTTAAAAACCGAATACACGACGGTGAATTCCCGTCGTCTT